AGAAGGGAAGAATAAGTTATTTACAAAGGAAAAATAATAAGATTGACATCATATTTCTCATTTGTTCACACCTGGAGGCCAGAAACGAAGGGACAACACCGACAGACAGCTGGGAGGAAAGGATGCATCCCAGGGACACAACCACAGCCAAAATGTCAATCACTGGCCAGGGGAAGGGAATTCTGTAGATATACAGAGTCAGAGAGCATGTCACCCACATTCTCTCATATATTATTTAAACAAGATACTTATGAGGGATCCTAAACAAGTAATAAATGGATCAGAACAAAGATCATGAAACAGGAGAAGGTGAAGAATAAAGGAAACAGTGATATGAGGTAACATGTCCAATAAATAGTTAACTCCAAATGGATAAGGATTGAATGTGTGACAGAGGGGCTAAGTAAGGATGCTTGTAAAAATAAGAGGCATATTGCAAGGGAAAAAGAATTGACAATGATAAATGATCTTAGCAAGATCTAGGGGTGGGAGATACTGGAAAGTAAGTGTGTATTAAGGATGGGGACACTGGAGAGGAAAACAGTGAAAGTCATATAAAGGCCTTAGTTTCTCAGGGTGGAGAAGGAGCACTGGAGAAATGGGGTATTTTGGTAGAGTAAATTATTTGGCATCCTGTTTTTAAATAATAATAGAGAAATATATTTTCAGCCATGATTGCTGGGAAAAGGGCAGCAACCACTAGGAGAAAGGAAAAGAATAGGAGACTGTCCAAATAAATAAAAGGAAGAAAGGAAAAATAGTACCATAACTAAACTTGAAAAATGAGGGAAGTTGAAAAGCAAAAGCAGTAATGAAAAATAAATAGTAAAAAAGTAAGATGGAAGAAATACAACAAGGATATTGATTGTTACATTAAATATGAAGAGGTTGAATTATTCTATTTAAATTACAGAAATGCTAAAATTTGGTTAATATAAAACATTAAAAAATAGTTATAAAATAATAGGGTTAAAAGAGAATGATAAAGATTAAAATAAAGGGACAAGAAAATACCAGAAAGAAAGTAGGTGTGACAACATTAATGTCAGATAAGTTGGTATGAGGGTAAAAGCACTAAAGAGGATAAGAATGTGTAGTTTGTAATAGTAAAACTATAAAATCTATGAAGAATCAATGACAGTCATAGTCAATTGTCACCAAATAATGTACCTGTTAAATGTGTGAAACAAATGTTTTAGAAATGCAAAGTGAGTTTAAAGAACCACACAATTATATTTAAATTTTAATAAATGCTTTTCAGAATTAAGATCCCATAAACAAAAAATAAATAAGCACATAGAATTGAATGATGTAATTAATAAATCAATTTAATATGAATTTCCTTCAAATCAAAAATTTACACTTCACAAGTCCAAAATCAATTAAGTACTTAGCTACAAAGAAGAATTCAAAAAATTTAAAAGAGAGTTTTTACAGATAGGCATACTCTCTGTTCATAACACAACAAAACTAGATAAAGAAATTTGAAAAATATCAAAAGATCCTAAACGCTGGAAATTAAGAAACGTATTTTTAAAAAAATCCTTGAATCAAAGAGAAATCAAAACTAAAATTACAAACTATTTAAAAACTGATGAAAGTATAATACTTTATTCCAAAACCTATAGTACATAGCTAAAGCTGTACTCAGGGGAAAATTTGTAGGCTTAAGAATACTTTTGTCATTAAGGAGAAAGATCTAAAATGAAAGAACTTTATATCAATTTAAAAGCCCTAGGGAAAAAGGAACGTTGAAATAAGCATTAGGAAAAGAGGAACATTGAGGTAAACCATGAGAAAACAGGGAAAATGAATCAATGAAATAGAAAACCAAACAAAACAAGTAGAAAGGACAAATAAAATCCCAAACTGAGTCTTTGAAGAAGTTAATAAAATGCATGGACCCCTCACAAACCCGATTAATGAAAAGAAGGGGCAAAATTACATAAGATTAGAAATGAGAATGGAGACAAAGCCACAGATCTAGGAAAGAGTGAAATTTTTGTATGAGAACATTATGAGTAACAGTATGGCAACAAAAATTTAAAAAACTAAAGAAAATGGATTATTTCCTAGCAAACAAACTCTCAAGTGTGACCAAGAAAAAGAAAACTTGACTATACCAATTGTTATAGAACAGATTGGAAGGATGCTTTGAGACTGATCATTTCGAAATACAGCAGGACAACACTGCTTCACAGCTGACAGTAGAACTCATCCATGTAGTAGGAGAGAAGATGAACACAGGAGATGAGATGTGGGTAAGGGACAGTGGTGAAGGGGAGTGGACTGTGATAGGGAGAGAAAGTTTAAAACAGCACCTCTTCTAAAGCTGCCTTCTCCCTAACATACATTCTTACTCTCTGTAATGACTGCTGCTTATGTTCAGGGGTAACTATTAATGTCCAATTATCATTTGTACAGCCAAGAGCCAAGATATGGGCAATAGCAGAAAAACTGCCAGGACTTGGGTCCCAAAGTCCTCTCCTTCTCTCCTGGTGGTCTGCTCCTTGCAACCTCATGTTAGTGGCAAGAATCTTTAAGGTTAGGGCTGCTGCCTCTGAACATCAGGGGGTCAGTGAGAAGGGGAAGCTCTAGTGAAGGCAGAATGAATTTACTCTGGGGGGCTCTCTAGTCCGTGTAAGACTAGCTGGGCTACTTCAGAGGACATCTGGGCACCTGTCCATGGCCTGTGGGCAGGGTGACTGCAATGGGCCAACTTTTACTTCTGCACCAACCTTACTATAGATTTTCTGCCACTTAGTCCAAAAAGATGTTTTTAAAGACATTTCATCACTCCTGTATGAGTGGCAAGCTAATTCAGTGATTAACAATACTGCACCCAGGCAGTTCTTTCACATTTCTAATGAGTAGATAATTTATCTTCCTATTTCTACACAAATATCTGGCCATCTTGACCACAGTGAATTAGAATTTCTGGAGCCCTGTGTTTTTTCCAGACTTGCTGAACATACTTTTTCCTTTTTCTGAATAATGTTGCTTTTATCCATTTTTCTTCAAATGTGGTTAGCGGCTTGTGATACAGTTAACATTAAATTTCTAAAAGGGATTAAAGTGGGAACTTAGAGAAAAACCCCCAGATACCTGTGCCCAAAGTGGGACCTTGTAAATTACTAGGAAATGGGATGAGCAAAGAAGGGTGGGGAAGAGAGAAATCTTGTCCAAGTGAACTGAAAGGACTTTTCATAGTCAAATAGTTTTCATTTCCTGTAGAGCCAATAAAAAGCACAGCTGAAAGTCCCCATCAGATCTGGTTTCGTTGGGGGGAAAGTCTCCAGGGCCTAATGGAGAGGAGAGGGGATTTCCTAGGGCAATGTCCTATGATGAGTGAAGAGGTTTCTGATTCTGTTATCTCTTGTTAGAATACTCTGGGGGTCTCCCCTCCATTTTGGGTAGCTGAGCCCCCTCTGGAAGCCTGACATGGAACTGAAGAAGCCCCTGTCCTTCGATATGGAGAGATCCATGGATGGTGGGACCATCTGACTTTCACACTCCTTTCCAACCGTGGTATTCTATGAGCTCCCTGGTCTTCCTGCTGGAAAATCCTGCATCAAAGGATCACAGTTTTCTTTTCCTCCCATGGTAGTATGCCTGCTGGCAGAGGTGAAAACAGTGAGGGGGTGGAGGAGGGTGAGCCTCAGGAGAGGTTCCCAGATGGTTTGTGGAAGGAGGCCCGGTTTACAACCACACTCCCTCGTGCACCACACTGTATCTGTCCGGTCTCTGGAAGCTCCAGAGCAGGTCTTCCTGGTTCAGTCACACTCATCTCACTTCCTAAGAATCTTCCCACAGTGACCCAGCATGTCAGTGCCTTTGTGCCTATGTCTGTCATAAAGAACATCCTTTGGGCCTGCCCCCTGCCCACCAGCTCCTGACTCTTATGATGTTGAACATCTGTGTCAGGCACTGGCCAGCGCGGGCCTGTGGGCCACATCCAGCCTGCTCTAAGGAACACAACCATGCCCTTCACTTACATATTGCTTTAGGCTGTTTTATGCTACCATGACAGAGATGAATATTTGCAAAAAAGACTGTATGATCTATAAAACTGAAAATATTATAGCTTTTTCAAAGATATTTGACCCTTCCAAGAATATTTTTGCTGACCCTGATCTATATATAAATAAAGACTGAATGTAAACTAGTGACTATAATTGGGAAGACAGATTATGAAATTCATGGATAATGGTCCTTCTATTTGGGCTGACCATTAGCTTTAAGAATCATAGACCTCATAACACTTCCAACACCCACAAGCAAATAGGAAACGAAATAAATTCCCCAGTTTTTCATAGACTTGAGCTCAGGTATTTTCCTTGACTGAAATCTCTCCTCCAAGTTGCTGGGTTGACCTACACTAAGAAATGTTTATGCTTCACAAGGAAGTCACATACAGGATTCTAATTTGTTATTTCTTTCCTACTGTGGAATATCATCTTGCCCTTTACTGTGACCACTGAATGTCTGACTCCCACTCCTGTCGGTGCGAAGTTCCTTTGTTATGTAAAGCTGTATGTGCCCATTAGCTGTTAGCTCTGTGCACGGAATGTTTGTTTCCCCTGAATTTCCAGCCACTCTGCGTCTGCCTAGGAGCCACTCAGCAAGTTCAATTTTACAGTATCTATTATTTAGTTAAATGTGCCAAGAAGATCATCTCTTAATTACCTTCCCAAAAGACCATATCTAAATACTTTTGTTTGAAGTCAGTAATATTTAAAAATCTTAACTGTGTTAAGAGCCTTACTTCCAACTCCAGCAAGCTCATTACCAACTTCCTCTAATGCTGCACAATGGGCAGTTCTGGTGATCTGAGCAGAGAGAGAATCAGCAGCAGGGAAAGGGAGTTACAGGTATGTTTCACAGGTGTGAGGAGAGACAAAGAAGGTGAGTGTTGCAGTGGATTGACCCAGAGATGAGCCCACAGAGAGCAGACACCACGGCCAGGCAAAGAGCAGTTTTGCCTGGAACTGGCTAGTCACCACTGGGCGCCTTCTCTTCTTCACTGCTTTTCACTGTCAGGTAGTAGGTGCGGTTGGCCTCTGGGTAGGTGACTTTGCTGAGTGGGAGCCTGTAGATGGCAGGGTTGTTGGTCGTCAGGAGCAGGAAGATAAGGGTAGAGAAGCAGAAGGCCCAGGTGCCTGCTGGCACACCAACCTGGAAGCAAAAGCAGTGGGGTCTGCAAATGTTCTAGGCTCCAGGGACCATGAGGGAGAAGCATGTGGCAGGGCCTAAGGACGGGGACTCTCGTCTAGGGGTGGTGTTGGTTTCTGGATTCATAACGTTGAAGTCATTTGTCTAGGGATTTGAAGTGTTGGTACCTTTAGGCATAATCAGAATCTTTAATGATGGAGCTGAAAATTGGCCTGGGGGTAATTTCCCATATCTAGCCAAACACAAGTACCTCCCCCTGTCCATCCACCTTCTCCACTGCTGGTTACACCTCTCTCTCACACATACACACAGGCCACCGCACAACCAGAGGCCCATATGTGCAGTCACCAGTCCTTCTCTGGACAAAGCCCGGATAACCCTTCACAGAGGCACTGTGTGGAGTACCAGCTACCATAACCCACACAGGACTCCTCCATGACACCCCAAATGTCCTGAAGTCCTGGTTGGGGAAGGGCGCACTGTTGTTTGGGGGAATCCCAACTTACCACTGACATTATGTTGGAGAGGGCTGCTCCCGTGTATGCACAGAACAGGGCTGTGGAGGAACCAGGACCATGGAGTCAGCTTCCCAGGGCCCACGCCAACCCCTCCCCAAGAGCAAGGGTGCCATCCTGTCTCCAGCGGCTCCAGGGTCTGCACCACACAGTGGACACCCGGACTGTTTGCCTGGTGTTATCTTTGCAGGTAGGAGTGGCCTGCCTCCCACGACTGTGTGTTCTCTGAGGGCAGAGACAAATGCTTATGTATCCTTTTACCCGCTTCTCACTTTGATGGTGGCCTTGACAGAGTAAGGGGTGAATAAGCATCTTTTGCTTTTCCATACTGACCTTGGGGATGGTCTGGCCCAGGCTGGATGAGCATTTACCCAGGGGCTGGCTGAGTGGTCAGACGCTATGAGCCCCCAGTGAGGCTGAGATTCTGAGTGGTCATGATGGGTCGTATTGGGCCTTACCAAGTCCCATCAGGCTGGAGCTTACTGATTCTCTGAGCTCATCTCTAGAAGGCAGGTATCTGGGTTCACCCATAGAATATGGGCCCCCAGGACAGTTAGGGGGGCACATGGACACCCCTGGTACCTCTGGACAAGCTCCTTCTGCCCCTGCACCTTTGTTCTTTTTGTTCCTCTACCAGGGATACCTTCCCTCCCTCTCTTTGTCTATCCAAATCCTACCCTGAAAGTTTTGGGATAAACCTCAGCTTTCCCCCGAAGCCTTCCAGATGGTTTTAGCCACAGGAATCTACCACTTCTTTGAAGGCCAAAGGCAGTTACAGTCTGAGCCTCAAAATATCTGGCACTTTTGACTTGATAAATATTTACCAAGCCCACTGTCTCCATGCTGGGCCTTGTGCTGCGAGGTACAAGCGGCATGGATGTCATTTATAGTCTCCACCCATAGTGGGGGAAAAGCCAAAAGAAAAGCTCTTCTGGGCACTATTCTGCCCTTTACTTGTCTCCAGTTTTGCTTGTTAAAGTCCTGCAGTTTCCAGAGAATGTAAGCCACTCTAGGAAGGGAAGGCTGGTGGCAAGATGGGACTGGGGTTCGAATCTTGCTTCTGCCATTAACAGCTGCATTCAAAGGCAAGTTCATTAGTCTCTCTTCATACCATTTCCTCATCTGTAAAGTGGGGCTGACAATCTATGCCTGTAGTAGTCTTGGGGGCATTAAATGAGTTCATATGTTTACACAGCACAGAGATTAGAGCTGGAGGGCAGTTGCAATAAGGACTGTGAACGATTTCCCTGGTCTGGGGTGGGGGCACATTCTCTATGGACTGTATGGAAACCAAGCTGCGTTATGATTCTCTGGGACCTCAAGTGGCCCCAGGTATGTCATCTCTCTGGGTCTTTTTAACAGCCTTTTTAGACATCACAACCTGAATAATTGTGCAATTACTTCTCGTCTGCTAGATGTGGTCACCACTGTGTCTTCCAGGCCTGGCCTGGAGGGGCTCTGTAAACAGTTGCTGAATGAAGAGTTACTAAGAGCAAAGAGGCTGCCACTACCACATGAGGAAATGCATTTGTGGTCTCCTCATCAACTTCACACTGTGTAATTACAGCAGCAGAGGAGAAGCCTCAAATCTCACAGTATTAGGACCAAGCCCCTGGTCCTTCCATCAGTGCTGCTGAGCTCTGAATCGTGGTTGCCACGGGTCTCACATGACCAAGGGGGTGGGGAGGGGAGGGAGGACTAGCCGAGGGACTTGGTTGCCAGCTTTCCCAAACACCTACCGCAGATGAGGGCCAGCAGGTGGGTCTGCCAGGTGAGGGCGTAGAACATGCCCCCGATGGCGATGCAGGAGAGCACGCAGTTATAGCTCCAGAGGCCCACGTAGATGGTCTTGAAGGGTGTGGCCACTGTCAGGGCTGTGGGACAAGGTGTGGTGTTTCTGGCTGGATCTGGGTCACAGCACAAAGGCCACTCCTTGGCTGGGGCCAGTTCTCAGGGTGGCCTCATTCCTGCTGTTCCCCAAGCCCCCTGCCCTTACCCATTGAAGGGGCCTCTACAAATGGCATCTGGTCCCTGGAAACTGACAGTGAGAAGGTGACAGTGGTTTCCAAACTGCTCCTCAGAGATGTCACACAGAGCTGTGACTGCTTTCTGGCTGAGCAGAGGCCAAGGTGGGGCTTTCCTCCCCACCCCTTTGGCTGGAGCAGCTGCATTTTTAGCAAGAAAGATTTCAATCGAAATGACTTCTGCTTCACATGGTTGAGGAAAAGTATGTAAGTACACATACTTATGCATGGAGATGGAGACACAATATAGCAACAGCGGTGGGATGTGAACAATTGGCGAATCTGGGGAAAGAATTTATGGGCGCCTTGTACACTATTTTTATTTTTGTAATTTTTTAGTATTTAAAATTACTGCCAAATCATTTTTTCAAAGTTCTGCTTCCAAGATGTTTTCGAAAAATATTGGACTAAGTCAACAGGCCCAATATACTCCAATTTCTGACTCTGCTGTCCACATATACATATGTAAATGTGTGTACATACATGTCTATACATGCAGAAACAGTCACATTTGCCGAATGGCAATCCAGGTTTTGAGAATTTTTCTTCTTTGAGAATTTTTCTTCTTTGAGCTTACTGGGCATTTCAAAGCACTGGGTCATTTTACACCCCTGGTTGGTGTATTCCCATATTGCTCCCCATCGCTCTGGGCCACCCTCTCTTTCTCCTCTAGCTTCTCAGCGTCCAGCAGCTCAGTTTACAGGCCAACCAGGTCTTTAGTTTCTTGCATCTGCTCACAGGTCTTTCTACTGCAATCTGCTGGCTTTGGAAACTCAGGAAGGAGAAATAAGTCCCTGCTGCTGACTGTGTTTAAAAAATGCCAGTGAAGATAATAAGTCTAGAATATTTTCTGTGTGCTGGGGAGAAATGATCTGAGGAAAATTATCCCAAAGACAGGGACCCTGTCCTACCTGCTAACATCCCCACGATTGAGCCAATGGCTGCATGTAAGCAGATGAGCGGTGAGGAGACGAACAGAGCCACCAGGAACACGCCTCCTGTCCAGGGATTGTCGCAGCCGTACACCTGGCCAACCCCGATGGGGATGGCTTGCAGCAGCTGCAAAGTCAACAGAATCCAGGTCACTGGAGCAAAGGCCCATTGTGCAAAGACCCGGCCTCAGGGTCAGGATTAAGCCATTCGTAGTGGAGGTAATAGGCTGGAACGGCAGGCAGGCTGTGCCCTCCAGTGTGTAAGAGAACTAGGGAGGCATAGGCTGGAACAAATAGTTCCTCACTCTGCCACCTAGCAGGCATCTGGCATCCCTCATGCAGAGCTGGGCAGGGCCCCCCAACACAGGGGCTGGGCACAGGTGCCTTTGTTTTGAGAGGAGGAGGTTTGGGGAACAAGAGCACACCTCCTCCCTAGACTGTCATTGGTGGTTTCAGGATTTCCTCTAGACCTGAAATCCTAGAAATATTCCAGGAATGTTGGAAACTTTCTCGGCAATTTTGATGGATGATTTGACCAAAGGTCACCCAGGTCCTTGGAGGCCAAACCCAAGCTAAGACCTGTGAGTGTGACTCCTGATCTACTGGTGGCTGCTGTACATTCAGTGCTACCCTGGGTAATGTGGGCCCAGGAAGGAGGAGGCATGTCCCCAGCTCTCAACGTGCGCTTGGCATTGCAGAAAGGTAGCGGGCAGAGCATCTGGAGAACAGAATGAAGGTCAAACATCCCAAAGGTTGACAATCATTTGGTGAAATTGGAGATGATTCATTTGGCAGTGATGGCAGATGGCCTTTTGCTGTCCAAGCTGCATCATCCATGTTTTGTCAGTCCGTTGAGGGCAAAAAGAAAGGAGGTGAATTGGCAGGCTAGCCAAAATGCTGGCCTGGGAGTTGAGCGCTCCAGCTTTCAGGGCAGCTTTGTGAGAGCCCTTTGTGTGACAGCAGCTGGTGTAACACGTCCTTATTCAGGGCTCTGGTGCCCTCCTGTGTAACATGAGGAGGATGCCTGGCAATCATCTAGCTTTAAAATTCTGCAAACTCTTTCCTCTGTGACCAGGTCACATGACCTCTTTGAGGACAGGGTTACTTTATGGCCGGACACATAATAGGTACTTAATAAACTCATATTGATTAGTTCAGTGGTTTCCAAATTTTGCTGTATATTGGAATCAGCTGGAGATCTTAAAAAAATATTGATATAACTGGTGTGGGGCATGACTGGGGCCTCAGAGGATTCTAATGTGCAACACAGTTTGGGGACCACTGGGTTAGTTACAGTTAATCTACCATAGATGTTGGGAGCTCACTGCATTTCTCCGTGTGGATGAAATTTTGTACTTTTTCACAACTTGATTTAAGTCTGGAGTCAGTCTGATATTATCAGCGAATAGTGTTTGAGGAAGCCAGACAGCTTTTAACCTTGCCCTCTCTTATCTCTGGATGGGTGGCCTTTTAATAACAGAGCCCTGTTTGGGCCAGAGCTTATAGACCTGTGCAAGGAATGATGGGGTGGGGCCCCATCTTATAGAAAGGAACCAGGAGATGCTTTGTACCAGTCCAGGGAACTCAGCTTAAGTGTGGGCAATAGGCAGGAAATCTACTCAATAAACATTCCATGATTTCCCACCATCTGGGGAATGCAGGATGCCTAGGGGATTCCACCCTCCCCTCTAGGAACACAGGTTTTAAGCCCAAGCAGTCAAGAATGAGAGGAATGAGGGAACAGGTTCCCTTGGAGTGGAGCCTGGGGTTAGAATGAAGCCTCCTCTGCTGGGATCCATATTTTAGCTTAGTGACCACTGGCCCTTGGGCAGCCTGCCCTCCTCTCCATGCTGCTCTCTAGGCCACCACGGACACCCTGGTGCAAAGAGCAGTCAGGTGTGCTGTGGAAATTTCCTGAGCACCAACCTCCATGCTCTGGACAATCCTAGAGTAACAATTAAAGAAAACGGAAGTCATTCCCCCACACCATTTTAAAGAGAAAGAGGGAAATGGCACTGATTCTTTGAAATATGGATCTGGATGGTGTGGAAGAGGAGCCAGTTGTCAGAGCAGTGATGCAGTGGGACGCTCAAGAGGGTGAGCTTGGGACTCAGGGTTCGTGGATTTGTATCCTAATACTTTTCAGTTGCTTATTTTGAAGACAAGAGGCAGCTCTTGTCTGTGGCCCTCTCCACTCTGGCCCCACCTCTGTGCCAGCCTCACAGTGTGGGGTGGGTGGGGGGCTCGGTGGGCCCTTCTCTCAGCAGTGCAGCAGGCCCCTGTGGCCGTCACTCAGACCATGCTTCATGGGTCGGGCTCAGGGATGGGGGTCTGTGCCCCTAAGGCAGTGTGCCTAATTGATCACTGGTAATTCTATCAAATTCAGAGTTTTGTCTCTGCTCCTATTCGAGCCACTTTCCATCTGAGAGGGTGGGCTTTCCCTTAAACGCAGGGCTCTGTGTTTGCTGTTTTCTTGCATTCAGGCCCTACCTTGCTTGGGGTCCCACTCCAGCCCCAGCCCCAGAAAAAGCTTTAAAAAAGGTTTTGCGTCATTGACAGCAGCCTTTGCCACTAGGGGCTGGGGAGCCTTTCCTTCCCTGATAGGCTCAGGGTCAGAGTGTGGCTGTCCCCAGAGCACCTGTGCTGTCCGTCCTGCCTGGAGAGGTGCCCTGGTGCTGAGCACCTGGCAGCAGGGCCACATCTGGATGAGGGGCTCGGCTGGGAGTGAGGGCTCAGAAATCAGATGGCCCAAGTAATACTTGGGAACATAGGTTGTGTTTTCAAATATTAAAAAGGCAAATGCAGAAAAAATATTCTGTATTACTCTAAAAGCAGAGTTGTACCAATAGGTGAAAGATAAAGGGAGGTGGAGTTCTGAGGCCCGGAGGGAAGATACTCCAACACCTAAAGGAGACACTGATGGAGAACAGAGGACACCACCTCACCGCGATTGTTCCAGTGGAGGACGCACATCCCGCCCTGCACTAGGGGCGTGGTGGTTGTGGTGGTTCGGAGCTGGGCTCTGAGTCAGGCTGGGTTTTAAGCTCAGGCACTAGCTGCAGTTTGACTTTGTATAGCTTACCCTCTGTGTGCCCTACTTTTCTCATCTGTAAAATGGGAATAATGAAAGTTTTTAGAATATGGGGTTATTTGGAGGGTTAAATGACTTTGGAGGGCGTGGGATGGTGTCTGATATATAAAAAGCTGGCCTTAGTATTAGTTGTCAGTTATCTCTATTGTTCATAAAGGAGGCCCAAATTGTAGAATTCTATACATTTCGTCTTGTGTTATATTTTTCTTTCTCTCTTTATTCCTAATGTCTAGAGTTCAGTGAAATGGACGGGTATTAGATTTGTGATAGTAGGATTCAAAGCAGGGTTTCTCAGCTCTGGCATTTTTGACATTTTGGACTGGACAGTTTTTTATTATGAGGAGGGGCTGTCCTATCCCCCATAGGGTGTTTAGCAGCATCCCTGGCCTCTACCCACTAGATCCCTCCAGTCTTGACAATTAAAAATGTCTGCAGACATTTGTCCTCCCCAGGAAGGCAAAATCACCCTGGTTTGAGAACCACTGATATGGAAAGTACATGTAAGCACATGAAAATTCACCCTGACTTCTATTGATAATATCTTTAAAATCCTAATTTGAAACATTTATTTTAGTATTTTTCCCCTTCACCCAACTATGCATCTTATTTAGTATTTTTCCCTCAACCAATCATTCTGTATGGCCAACTGAATACTTATTTGTACCCTTGTTTATTATGTTTCACTGGGGAGAGCATAGGCTTCATGGAGGTAGGGATGTTGTTTTATTCTTGGTGTATTCTTAGTGTCTGATAAAGTGCCTGGCACATACTAGGTCTTCCATAAGGGATTGTTGAAAGAATATTGGCAGCTGGCAGTGGCTCTTTTCTGTCCTCTTCTCTACTAAGACTCATCACCTGGTGAACATGCATCTAGAGAGACTGAGAACCTGGGCAATCCACAAACTGGTTAGTGAGAAGGTCTGTGGTGGAATCAGGGGGTCCCAAATCATCTGCCACTGGGTAATTTACCAAAGGCATCTCAATCTCTGTCCAGGTGATGTTGGGCACTGAAGACACGGGCTCCATCAGTGTTGTGGGGAAGAAAAGATTGTAGTGGCCCATGGCCGCCAGGTATAGGGTCACTGCGATGTTGAAGGGCAGTGTGAAGACTGGGAGGTCCCACTTGCTGAAGATGGAATTCAAGGCACTGGAGAGAACTGGGCTGAAGATGGAAGGGATAATAGGTTAGTCACTGCAGTCATCCTTAGTTCTCCACTGTCCCATCAGCCCTGGCTACAGTGTTATCCACTCTCCCCTCTCCTTGGCACTAGTAGTTCCCTTTGAGACTAGTGGTCCATTGGTCTGGGATTGGGAATAGGTGTTCAATTTAAGACTACACCTTGGAGAAACACATTTAAAAAGTATTATAATTTGCTTTGAACTTTATAAAATAATTAAAATATTTCCTTATTTCTAAAATCAAGCAGACTAAACAAAATGCAATCCTTTCAAAATATCACATATTGCCTTTGGATTATTAAGATGTACAGTGGTTACTATCCTGGCTGTGATGACTTTTGAGAGGTTGCCCTGGCACATAGATCCATGCAGGCTTGGATTCAGTCAAGTACTCTGAGCTACTCTGGGAACTGCAATGTGAAAATGGAACCTTCAGTTCTTGATGTCCTCTCCCTTCTTGCCTCTTCTTGGCCTATTCCTTGGCAAGAGCATGAATTTTGGAGACAGAAGGAGCCCAGTGCAAATCCTAATTCCTACACTTATAGGCTGAGTGAGCAATGTTCAGTAATTAATCTTTCTTAACTTTAGTTTCTTCTGGAGGAACCAGCTGTCCCAGACAGCAAACACCCTATTCCACACACAGTGAGCTGCAGGACTAAACATGAACTTTCATGATCGGGTTCATTGGACTACTTTAATTAGTGACCATGCATCTCACGTGGGCATTTAAGGTTGCCTGAAAACCCTACTATACATCTCTAGCAAATCAGCTCTCCAACTTGCTGAGAAAGCTATTTCACATTTTCTTCTCCTCAAATCTTTACTGTCTGCTTCCCTTTTGTTTCAGCTAACCACTTGGCTTTACTTCATTAAAAAAACAGAAATCACAAGATGAGCAATGCTTTGTATTCTGAACTGTAAGATCCACTCGCCGATTGCCTTGTTCATATAACGCAAGTGTCCCTGCTTGTCCATCAGGCCAGTTCTTTTCCTTGTACCTTGGGATCCAATTTGTCTCAAAGACATCACTCCTGCAATTCTCTCCTCTCTCTCACTTGCAGCTTCAATTTCTCCTTCTCTCTAGATCATTCTCATGAGTGTACAACATGCTCTAGTGTCTCCTACCTTTAAAAACCCTCCTCCTTTAACCTGCTGTCCCCTCTAGCTGGTGCCCCAGGTCTCTGCTCCCTCAAAAGTATTGTCTATCTTGCTATGGCCAATCCTGCTGTTTCCATTCTTTCCTAAACCCACACCAATCTGGTGTGTGTTCTTCATACACCACAGAAATCTTGTCAAATCCACGGTCACTCCCTGCCCCCTTTATTTGACAGTTGGACCCTATGATTGAGTGGCAACACCTATCAGGGTTCCCATGACACTGCATTTTCTTAGCTTTCTTCCTGCTTTTCCTACAGTTCTGTCTTGGGCCTTTCTTCAATCTTCTTTTTTTTGGTGATATCCCTCAGTCCCAAGGATGAAATATCTTCTGTATGTTTATGCCTTGCAAATCTTGATAATATGACTAAATTCCAGATTTGTACATCCAACTACCTTTTCAATATCTCTACTTGTTAGTTAGTCTAAGGTTTAATAATGCCCAACAGAACTTTTGATTTGAATCCTGTCTCCCACCACCGATCTGTTTATCTCTTAGTCTTCTCCATCAACCCAGGTACTCAGGCAAATTACAGGAGTGTACTGAATCTTCCTCCTTCACTCCCTCATATTCCACAGCTTCCCAGAAAGTCCGTTTACCTGTATCTTCCTTAAAATATACCCCGAGCCCAACCACTTCTCACCACCTTCCTGGATATCACCCTCTCCCACCACTCTCATCTCTCTGTGGTTAAACAGCTGACCCCTAGCTGTGCTTCCAGCATCCACTCTTGCTTCAGTTAAAATCCTTTCTCCACACTGCAAGAGGTCATTTGTTTAAATTTAGACCATATCCTGTTACTCCTCTGCTTAAAACCCTTAAACTGCTTCCAATCACAGCTGTAATAAAAATGAAAAGGCTTACTGGATTTACAGTAAGATCTTACTGGATCTACGGACAGGGTCTGGCCTTCACCTATTTCTGCCCGTGTCCCCTGCCGCTCCTCCTTCATTCACTGGGCCTCAGTCCCACTGGTCTTGTCTTTTGAGCACATCACACTTCCCAGCTGGGGTCTTTGCACAGGCTGCTGCCTCTGTCTGTGCATCCATCACCCAGATCTTCAGATGGCAGGTGCCTTCTTATCATTTAGGTGACAGCTCAAATGTTCCCCTCTGCAAAGTGACTGTCCCTGACCACCCATGTCTGGAATCACTCTCTGTCCATTTGTTCTGCTTTGCTTTTCTCAAAGCACATATCGTATCTAGAAGTGACCCTTTCAATGAACTAGTTTGTGAGTTTATTTCTATCTTGGCCAAGCAGAATGTAAGCTCCAAGCAGATGGGGACTCTTTGTTATTAACAACTAGCCCCAGCATCTGAAATAGTCCCTGCACATAGCAGGCCCTCAGCAAATATTTGTTGGTTAAATCGGGAAAATGGCTCTACTTATCCCTGTCCTATGAATTGTATTTCAAGGACTACCTGAATGGATAAGTGAACAGACTGGACTAGCAGCACAGAGCTCAGCCCAGAGTGTGTGCTGAATGATCTTTGTTGGTCTTATAAATTGGGAAGTAGGGGCGGGGGTGGGAACATTGTAGACAAACTGCCGCCCAGTGCAAAGTGGCTGAGGAGGTTAATCTATGTGGTCATAAACCAAATGCATGCACATGAAGACAATTCTCCTATTCCTGGTATGGTGGCAGGCGGGGGCATTGAGGAAGTCCCTACAGAAATGACTGCTTTAGCTTTTTATCCCGATAGATTAAGAAAGTCAGAAACCCTAAGAAGAAACATAAAATGCCCAGAAAGCTTTATGTAGTAAATTATTTGTATGTACTACTAGGAAGTATTGGAATAGTACTTAAAATTGAAATTTTAGTAACTCCAGACTTCGAAGCCAGAGAAAGACATGTATTTATTTCTTAGAGATCTTAAAAATCAGTCAGCATGTCTGAGAGTGGTGGCACACAAGGAATGGGGGACATGAGTTCCCCACAGACTTCTTGCCAGTATGTGACAGGGGGCATCATACGGATACCCTCAGACTCTGCAGACCCGCCACAGATCCACATGAACTAAGGGTCACTGTGCCTAGGACACCCCTGACCTCAGTGAATATTTGTTCCTAAAACCTTTCAGGTTGACTTTTTTATTCTTCTGCAAAATGAGGTGATGGTACACCAAAATCTCAACTGATGCTTTTTGTTCCAAGATTCTGTGTTTCAAATATAGACATTTTGTTCCAAGAGAGCTCCGATTCTATCTCAATTGAGTTTTCAGCTTTTGGGTCTTAGTTGGGCTATAGGATATATGATTCCCATGTAGCCTGGAGTTGACAGTAGTGCAGACCCTGGGTTCATTATCAAGGACTTTCATAACGTATAACCTAGGGCCAGTTAATTAACGTCTGTATGCCTTGGTCTTCCCTTCTGTAAACTGGGGATGATAACTCTGTCTTGCTTAGCACTGTGCCTGGCACGCAGAAAATACCTAATAAATGTTAGCCTTTACTATTAAGCCTATAATTCAAGGATGATTATTAGCACAGTAAAAAACATGTGGTATTTGCAGCTTTAAAGGATCTCTGTTAATTTCAAATTCAAAAATGATCCCCTGTGTGGCTACTGAACTCATGGATTTTCACTGTGCCCAGCAAGATAAAGCAGCCTGACTATGAAGACACTTGGCCCCAGTGTAAGACATCGGGGAGCTGTGGGTTTGTGAGCAGAATGAGGTGTCTCACCAGGCCATGGCTGTGAATGTCACAGGAAACAGAAGCCACCAGTAATAGTCTAGCTTCTCAGAGAAAACGGCCATTAGCAGCCCCACCAGCATCCCGTTGTAGCCGTGAAGTCCTGAGGCGATGGCGGACCTCGGGGAAACAGAGGTATTCACCAGTGCTTATCAGGCCCTCCCTGCTGGCCCTTCCAGAAAAGTGTCCACTGAATCGATGAATGTGGGGCAGTTGCACAGCTGCCAGCACTGCTCTGGATCACACACACATGCATACACATACATTCCCCCAACACACATGAAACAAAACATTTCACAAAATAACACTTACTTTTCCTGCATATGGATTACTTTAATCTGTTTTATTTTATACTATTATTTGAATTTTTAAAATGCTGTTGACAATTAATTCACAAATGGGTTGGGGACCACAAAATCGAAGAACACTAAGAATATGGACACTCCCAAAGGTCTCTGATCATCAGAAGCACCAGGGGAATCTTGTTAAAAATATCACCTCCCAGATTCACTGAATGGGAGTATCTCTGGGAGGGAGGGGGTACAGGTGGGGCTGAGAAGCTACATTTCTTAACATTTATTCCAGGTGATTCTGGCCATCAGGAAAGTTTGGGAACTGTTGGACTAACTTATGGCAAAGTCTGAGGAGGTGGTCCAGTTCTGTAAAATACAACCGGTATGAGCGGACTTCGTAGCTACCAGTGCAGAGCTGGCCCATCCTCCAGGCCTGCCTCATGCCTCCAGAAGCTCAAGCTTGTTCCCCTTCCTCCACGCTGCGTCCGCACTGCCCTCCCTTGCCCCACCTAAGTGCATGTTGTAGCTCAAAGGCTATGTTCTCTAATCTTTGCAACACTTGGTGATTTCTGCCTTCTCCAACCTTTCCAGCCTGTACTGTCTTGTGTTCTGATACACTTCTTGGCTGTTAGTTTCTTCTCCCTCAACTCGACTGTAGGCTTCTTAGGGAAGAACAGCTTGTGTTCCTCTGTACCTACCTGCCTCCAAAGGAGTGTTTCCAGAAGGCTCCACAGTCAGATTGAGCCAGGCGCTCTCACTTGCTGCGAGCACAGGAGTAGTTTAGTTCTGTTAGGACGTCCAGCAGCCTGTTCAAAGCTGACCCTCAGGAGACTTTGGGTTGGCTGGTAGTATAAACCTGGCTGATTGCTCAAGTACACACTTCTCCACCTGTCTACCCTAAGACCCCAAGACCCCCCAGAGAGGGACCTACCTGTCCTGGCTCAAGACAAGAGCAGTTAAGGTTGAGACCACTGCCCCCAGGCCTCCGGCAATCGTCCACCAGGGATTCTGGATCAGGAGCCCTATGAAGATGATGAGCCCACTGAGGGGGTTGTTGACGAACATCACCTGAGCAGTGCCCCTCAGCACCCAGTCTGTGAACTGGAGGGCCAGCGCCTTATCTGAAAGAGAAAGGCAGAGCCATCAGCAGGGGCTAGCCTGGGCTGCCCTGCTGGACCCCTGGTTGGCATAGAAACCAAGGCAAATAGGGGTGCAGGGGACGGGACATTTCCCCTCCTTCAGCCTGGCGCCCGGCCTGGGCCTCTGCGCAGCGAGGCAGTCAGTCTGCAGCGGGTGTTCGCTTTCCCATACAGGCTGAGGCACTATGCTGAGACCAATTTAATGATGTTCCAGCCATCAGCTCAGTTGGTACAGAAGCCCCAGGAGCATTCCAAAGGGAAATTCATTGTTCCAAGGTAAGGGCTGGGAGGGAAGGAAACTCTCTTTGTATGTAGCGCTGTATGACTCAGTGGAGGGCTTGTACCTGAGGAGCAAAGAAAGTTGTTTGAAGATAAGAAGCTGAGAAGAAATGATTTTAACTCTGCTGTGAAATCAGTATGGAGTTAGGACTTGGGGGGAGCCAGATCTAGAAGAGGGGACCCCTCCCCTCTGGTTTGGTTTCCAGGACAACCTAAATAGGTGGGGTGGGGAGCAGGCTGGGTCAGGGGAAGTAGGAGTGTTTGCTTCAGATTTTAGTTTAGGGAAACTAGGGGAAGAGAGATGTTAAAAGGAAGGAACCCTGTAATGCTGTGGAGAGTGATGCCAGTATTTTTTTTGTACATCATAAATGGCTGCGCAACAAGTAAAGGAGTGGTCACTTAGCTTATTTGGGGGGTGGCTTATTTGTTGCTAATGTGGTTGTTGTATATCTGTTCTATGTAGAAGTGAAGAATTTGCAAAGAAAGAGGATCTGGGAAATGCATTTATTTCTCAAACTGAGAATTCTGAGTTAGTCAGGCACATCACGCCCTCCAGGAGCCAGGTCAGGGTGGGAATGCGTCAATTGTGGGGGCCCTCCTCGTGGGGAGTGAGGGAGCAGCTCCCTCCACCCACGCCAGAGAGAGGGAGGGCTGTCTCCCTGGCTTGGCTACTTCCTCCGGGCAGCTGCCTACCTTTCAGCCAGCTCCTGCACTCCTTCATCTCTCCCGTGAGGTAGCCCACTGCTTGGAAGAGGCTGAGGCCTCCCGGGCCGGCAGAGCCCTGGCGGGCTGCTCCGCTCTCTCTCCTCTTACTTCTTTCAGTGGGCTTTTCAATTTTCACAATGTGGCTGTCTTCACTGGATGATTGAAGATCCTTTCAGGAGAAGCCATGACAAAATATCAAATAAGATACTTGGAGAGCAGGGGCATTTGGGAATAAAGATGGGTGTCAGGTTTTTTGATGAAGGATCATAAGGCAAATGTCCCTGTCTAATGCCTCCCAGAGTGTCCCATGTAGGCCTGCTTTTCCAGGTCTGTACACCTTCACAGCACGCTTGTGTGGCCATCAGTGCCTTTTGGCAATTTGGCATGCCTATGGACTTCTTTCTGGAATAATGTTTGGAAATGAATAAAATAAATAAGATTGCAAAGAAAACCAATTTTATTGAAATGCATTTGTCGCAGTATGTTTTAAAAAATCTGTGATATACATTGAAGTAGAGCAGATACAGTAACAACAGTAATTTCAAAGTACTGACGAGTGAACATGTGGGGACTCTTCACCCCCAACTCTGGACTTTATAGTGCCTTCCTAGTGCCAGAGCTCACCAGGGGATCACCTGAGGTCTTTACTGTGACTGCCTCACAGCCCAACTACTCCTTTTGTCTAATCCTGCTGTCTTTACTCCTCTACAAATGTTGACCCCAAGGGTATACCCCAATAAATTTCTTACATGCAAATCTCCATCTCAGAGTCAGCTTCCTAGGGGAACCCATTCTGTGACAATGGCAGTATCTCGGGTACTACTAATAAGGCTGTTGCTCATTGCTTATTTACAAGAAGCAGCTTAACAACAAAGCCCCAAAATATATGAAGAAGAAACTGCCAGAAATGAAGGAGAAAAAGACAATTCAACAAAAATAATTGGAGACTTCCATACTCCACTTTCAAAAATGGATAGAATAACTAGCAGAAGATCAACATGGAAATAAAAGAGTTTAACAACAGGACAAACCAACTAGACATAATAGATAACTATGGAACACTCCATCTAGAAATAGTAGAATGCACATGCTTTTCTAGTATACATCAAACCTTCTCCAGTATAGGCCATAAAATTGGTAAAATATTCTTATTGATAAAAAAAATTTAAACAATTGAAGTCATACAAAATATAATATGATCTCTGACCACAATGGAGTGAAATTATAAATAATAAAGAAATTTGGGAAATATGTGGAAATTGAACAAAACAATTCTAAATAATTAGTGGATCAAAGGGGAAATCAGTAGAGAAATTAGAAAATACATTAGGATGAATGAAGACAAAAACACAGCCTATCAAAACTTATGGGATGCAGCTAAATTAGTGCTTAAGGGGGAATTGTTAGGTCTAAATACCTATGCTAAGAAAAGAAGAAAATCTCATAGCAATGACCCAACCTTTCACTTTAAGAAACTAGGAAAAAATATGGTGGGCTAAACCCAAAGCAAGTAGAAAGAAGGACATAATAAATATTATAATGGAAATAAATAAAATAGAGAATAGAAAAACAATATAGGAAGTCAATGAAATTAGAAAGTCAATGAGACTAAAAGTTGGTTCTTTGAAAGATTAAAATAGACAAACTTTTGGCTAGACTGACCAAGCAAAAAAGAGAAGATTAAAATTACCAGAAATGGAAGAGAAGACATTACTAACTGGAGTAGTAATATACTAAGATCAACAACTAAGAAAAAAAAGGATTATAAGGGAATGGAATTATAAAGATATGAATTATTATATGCTAACAAATTAGATAAACTTGATGAACTGGATAAATTCCTAGAAAGATATAAACTACCAAAACTTGCTCAAGAAAAAAAAAATAGAAAATCTGAATTGGTCATAACAAAGTGAGGCAACTGAATTAGGAAAAACAAACAAAACATTTCCCACAAAGAAAAATCCCAGTCTAGATGACTTCACTCATGAATTCTACCAAATGTTTAAAGAATTAATACCAATCTCTTCCAAAAAATAGAAGAGAAGGAAAACTTCCTAACAATTCTATGAGGTAGAAACCTCATATGCCCAAACCAGACAAGACATTGTAAGAAAGAAAACTAGAGATCAATATGCTTTATACATATAGATGCAAAAATCCTTAGCAAAATGCTAACAAACCAAATCCAGCAACATAAAAAAAGAATTATGGTCAAGTGGAACTTGTTCTAGGAACTCAAGATTCTTTCAACATATCAAAATCAATCAATAATACTAATGATTAATAATTAGTAATAATAAGAGAATAAAGGGAAAAAACCCCATGATTATCTCAATAGGCACAGGAAGACCATTTGAAAAATTGCAACATTTCCTGATGAAAACGTTCAATAAACTAAGAATAGAGAGGAAATTCCTTAACCTAATAAAGGGTGTATACTAAACACACAGCTAATATCATACTTAATGGTGAAAGCCTGGGTGCTTTCTTTTAAGACCAGGAGCAAGACAGGATGTCTGCTCTCATCACTTCTATTCAACATTGTATTGGAAGTTCTAGGCAGAGCAATTATGTAAGAAAAAAACAAACAAAAGGGAACTATACTGGAAAGAAAGATTTTAGAGTTATCTCTATAGATGGCACACCCTTTAATATGGAAAATATTTCGAATAATCCACAAAAAACTATTGGGCATATGGGTTCACCAAGTTCACAGGATAGAATATCAATATCCAGAAATCAACTTTATTTTTATACTCTGGCAATGAACAATCCTAAAATAAAATTAAGAAAACAATTCTAGTTATGATACTATGAAAAAGAATAAAAGATTATGGAATTAATTTAACAAAAGAGGGGCAAAACTTGTGCACTAAGAACTACAAAACATCATCAAAGGAAATTAAAGGCCTAAATAAACTCAAAGATATTCTATGTCTATGACCGGAAGACTTAATCTTGTTAAAATGGCAATACTCCCCAAACTGACCTGTAGATTTAACAGAATACCTATTAAAATCTCAGTTGTTGTTTTTTTTTTTTTTTGCAAAGATTGACAGTCAGAACCTAAAATTCATATGGAAACTCATGGGTCTTAGAATGGATAAAACAAAACAATCTTGAAAAAGAAGAACAAAGTTGGAGGACTCATACTTCTTGATGTCAAAACTGACTACAAAGCTACAAAAGCTACAGTATTCAAGATGGTGTCACACTGGCATATGGATAAATTCTAAGTCAGTTAAATAGACCTGAGAGTCGGGAAATAACCCATACAACTCTGGCTAACTGACTTTTTATTGGAGTGTGAAGACACTTTAATGTAGTAACGATAGTTTATTTAACAAATGGTGCTGGGACAAATGGATATCTGGTTGTAAAACACTGAAGTGGGACTACTTAATATCATATACAAAAATTAACTTAACATGGATAATGGACCTACATGTAAGTGCTAAACTATAAAACATAAATAAAAACATGAGTAAATCTTTGCAAACTTGGATAAGAAATGGTTTCTTAGATATGACACCGAAGTGTAAGCAATCAAGGAAAAAATATACCAATTGGACTTAATCAGAATTAAAAAACCTTGTGCTTCTAAGGATGTTATCCACAAAGTGAAAAGACAACCTACAGAGTGGGAGAAATTATTTCTGAATAATATATTTGGCAGGGGTCTAATGTCCAGAGTATAGAAAGAACTATTACAACTCCACAATAAAAAGAAAAATAACCTAATTACAAAATGGGCAAAAGATTTGAAAAGACATTTTTCTAAAGAACTATACAAGTGGCCAGTGAGCACATGAAGAGAATGTTCAACATCATTTCTCATTCTCAAAATCACAATAAAGTGCCACTTCACTTCCACCTAGGCCATAATATAAAAGACAGATAATAACAGGTTTTGGAGAGGAGCTGGAGCGGCATGGTATGTATATAGCTGGTGAGAAGTACACTGATGTATTTGTTTTGGAAAACAGCTTGGCAGTTCCTTAAAATGTTAAACATAGATTTACCATATGACCCAGAAATTCCACTCTTTGGTCTATAACCAACAAAACTAAAATATGTGTCTACATAAAAACTTCTACACAAATATTCATAGTGGCATTATTTATAACAGTCAAAAAGTCATAACAATCCAAATGAATATCAACAGATGAATGGGTAAAGTATGATATTCATATAATGAAATGTTATTTGGCCATAAAAAGGAATGATGTTCTGATTCATGCTACAATATGGATGAACCTGAAAACATTATGGAAAATGCAAGAGGCCAATCAGAAAGGCCACATATTCATATGATTATGTTTGAATGAAAAATCCAGAATACACAAATCCATAGGGACAGAAAATCAATTGGTGGTTGAGGTTGGGTGAGGGTGGAGTGAGGAGTGACTGCTAATATGACTGGAGTTTCATCTTTAAGTGATGAAAATATTCTGGAATTATGTAACAGTGATCCTCATACAACTTTGTAAATATGCTAAAAACCAGTGAAATTTAAAGGGGTGAATTTTATTATGTAAATTATATCTCATTTAAAAAAAAACCCATAGTGGTTTTGTGTTCCTCTCCACTGTATCAGTTCAGGGAGTGCTACAGGCTGGCATCTGAATGAAGGCCTTCCTTTTGGAGATAACAGGCCAATTCAAAGGGAGTAGATCTAAAGGGGAGAGTTTGGAGACTAATTGGAAGACTGGTGTGTGAGTGTGTGCCTTCCCTATTTGTCCTTAAAATCAGGCCACACACAGAGCCACATTTTCTCTCGTAGCCCAGGTGGACCAGTCATGGGTGTGAGCATGCACTGATGGTGGGGCAGAATCTCCTGGGCCCTGGCCCTGGCCTGGCATTCTGTAACACTGCCTTGAGAAGCTGGGCAGGCAGCATCTTTCCCTCCTTCCACTCTCCTCTCCTAGGAAACATCCCAGGAGGGACATTTCTCACCTTTTCTTCAGGCATTTCCAGCAGAGGCAGGGCCGGGTGGGTATCCTGGGGGCTGGAGGGCCAGCTAGGGCTGGTAGGCTCTGACTCGTAGAGTTTGTATTTGTTAGAAAGAGGCTCTACCCGGAGAGGCCTGCTGTGTGGGTCAGACATCTCCTTCAGAGGGCGGCTGCTCGTCGGTCTGGTGGAGGGAAGAAAAAGACAGGTGAATCAGGATGGGGCCAGAGGGACTTGGCTGAGGCTGTATGGAGGCTGGTCCTGACACCCAACATCTACAGACCCCACAGCTTGCTGCCAGAGGGGCGGGAGCCATTCCTCCATCCACGTGACTTTACCTTCCAAAGTCCCCCTTCTTTAAAGTACTGAAGAAAGTTCATTTCTGGGGACCACCCAGTTAGAATAGCTGTCTTTCTTCTTTCCCTGATCACTGAAATAGTTTCTCACTACCTTTCCTACTGCCCATTGTCATATCTTACTGTGGAAGTCAGTTGTACTTATTATTTCCCCTTGATACATGCACATAGATCTGGGTCTTCCAACCAAGTAGGGATCTAAGAGAAATTCCCTTTCCTAATTGCTATGGAGTCTATAGTGCTTACAGTTGACCTCCAGCCCCCTGCTTTGCCCTTTGCCCTCAGTGCTCTTTCCAGCTCCTTCCCTCTTTCCCTTCTCCAGGAACAAAAACAGGCTCTGGTATAATCTACTGGAGACTATGGGCACCGGCCTGGAGGTACTTCCTGCTCTATGTGGGGCCCCTTTGCCATTCACAAAGGGGACCAGCAGGTTCATGTCTGGACTCGCTTTTAGAATGACCTCTGTCCACGGTCTTCAGTTTCTTGGGATAATCTGGCTGCCCCCGGTAGTGCTATATTTTTCTCCTTCCTTTCAGTCATCGTAGCCATTCTTTTTTGGCCTCCTCCAGCTCAGTATGTCTTCATTTACTGTTTCGCTGACAGGTGGTTTTGTACCTGCACGCAGTCTCTTCCCAGTGAGATGTAGCGTTCTCCCCATAGCTCCTCCGCCTCTCCTGAGTTGTAGGATAGCGTATCTTAGGGCAGTGATGGCAGATCCCCAGCCTGGGTGCTAGCATACCTCACGCTTACCTCTGCAGACACTGCTAAAGGATTACACAGTACTCTTCTAGAGGGGATGAAGGCCCCCTTTCTGTCTCTGATTCGGTACCACTTCCCTCAGCTATTTCCTCTCCTGCTCCCACTGAGAGCAATTCTTGCTCTTCCATGTTGCTTCCAGACCAACATTCACCTTGCCTGTGTACAAACTCTTCTTCCTCGAGGCTTGTGCCACTCCTCTAACTGCTCCCCACTGTGCCACCGACTTCCTGGGCATTCTCTCACTGGCGGAGATTTTAGGAGCTACTGAGCATCGTCTTCATCTCCTCTCAGGTGCATCCAGGGGCACAGCCCTTTCACCTCTTAGAGGCTTCCCGCGCTGTAGCTCCAGCAGCCCCCCTCCCTTCCCTTCCCTCTTAACCACCTTGGATTTTTGCGGCCAATCATTTTATTTCTTTCAACTCCTTTGCTTCTTCCTCTCACCCTCTCTCATGCTTGTGTGATCAAACCCCAGCCAGCTTCACCCAACCGTCCATCTTTTCCATGCTTTCCTTGAGCAACTGGACATTGCTAGAGAAAAACTGCATAACCAGGCAGGTTGCTTTCACTTTGAATTCAGGCTCACCATCCTCAGATGAACACTTGGCACTTCCCTTTCTCTCTCAGCCAGCCCAGTGGGTTTCTGTTATGACTGCCCTTGCTGCGAGACCTCCATGTTGGCAAACTCAAACATGCTTCTGGAATTCCACAGAACTGACTGTGCTTGCTTGACAGACTCTCCCCTCCTTAGCTTTTTAAAAAAATTTTTTTATTTTGGTATCATTAATGTACAATTACATGAGCAACATTATGGTTACTAGACTCCCCCATTATCAAGTCCCCACCACATACCCCATTACAGTCACTGTCCATCAATGTAGTAAGATGCTATGGGGTCACTACTTGTCTTCTCTGTGTTGCACAGCCCTCCCTGTGCCCCCCCCCACACCATGTGTGCTAATTGTAATGCCCCTTTTTCTCCTTATGCCTCCCTTCCCACCCATCCTCCCCAGTCCCTCTCCCTTTGGTAACTGTTAGTCCATTTTTGGGTTCTGTGATTCTCCTGCTGTTTTGTTCCTTCAGTTTTTTCTTTGTTCTTATACTCCACAGATGAGTGAAATCATTTGGTACTTGTCTTTCTTGGTGTGGCTTATTTCACTGAGCATAATACCCTCCAGCTCCATCCATGTTGTTGCAAATGGTAGGATCTGTTTTCTTCTTATGGCTGAATAATATTCTATTGTGTATATGTATCACATCTTCTTTATCCATTCATCTACTGATGGACACTTAGGTTGCTTTCATATCTTGGCTATCGTTAACAGTGCTGCGATAAACATAGGGGTACATATGTCTTTTTGAAACTGGGCTGCTGCATTCTTGGGGTAAATTCCTAGGAGTGGAATTCCTGGGTCAAATGCTTTTTCTATTTTGTTCCCTCCTTAGCTTTTACACTTGATTCTCCCTTTGGCTGCTCCTTCACACTCTCCTTGGTTGGCTCTTCCTGTAAATACGAGGATTTGGCAGAGCTCTGTTCTAGACCATCTTCTCTTCACTGGTGCTCCTGCCCAGGAGATCTCGGCTCTCATCATGCCTTTATCTTCCATCTCTATGCCTGTGACTCCTAAATCTAATATTTCCAGTCCAGTCTTGAGCACTGGACTCATAGTCTTAATTGTCTACTTCTTACTTGCACATGTATGTTCCAGAAGTAGCTTAAAGTTAACATGCTGTAACAACTCATTATGTTCCCTTCCCAAATCCTGCCTCCTCCCTCAAAGGTGCTCATCCCTGGAGAACTCTCCTCCTCCAAGCTGTTCCTTCAGAAAATCAGGAGTCAAACTTAATCCTCCCTTCCCTCTCACTCCCTAAATCCAGTAGTTATATCACTAAAATACAACTCCTCTTTCTTGTGCTGCCATCCCTCTGATAGAGAGTCCTTTTCTCTATTCTGACCCTGCAGGAGGAGGTTCAGGAGGAGTCCCTGCAGGGACTGCCCTGCAGGGGTCATGCAGGAAAGGCTTAGAAGAGAGCGAAAGCCAGCCAGCCTGAAGATGTGTGCTTCTCCGATGTGCTCTCTCCCTCTGGTGGCCAACAGGAGATACAGCATCCCAGCCCATTAAAAGACTCTTTCCGAACCACCCAGATGAAGAGGGCAATCAGGGATCTAGACACATGATCTGCATGGCATCACACATCTGGATGAACTAGAAATGTCCTGGGGAGACCTTGTGTTAAACTCAGTATCTGTGAACTCCATTAAAAGTTCAGTTGACAAATAACTTATTTCCATACTTTTTTCATTAATGCTAAAATGTTATCAGTTGTAAGATGTATCATTTTGGGTATCACTAAGGAAGAAGAAAATACTGCCAACAAAAATTGTAAGATTCAGTCTGATTTAAGAAACGTTAAATATGAGAACAATGTATATCATATAATCAAGGAAATACGATTTTTTAGTGAAAGGGGATCAAGCAGGGGTTGACCTGGGTATATTTGTGAGACTTAAAGCATTTCTAACCATGAGAATTAAAGCATTTAATTTTTCTTTTGATGAAAAATGTGCATATATAGCATGAGCCCTTAAAGAACGGGCCTGTTACCTTGCTGATTTCTGTATTCACACTGCCCAGCAGAAAGCCTGACACGTATAGGGCCTCTGTGCCTGTTTAATGAATTGTGGAAAGAATGAAGGATGGCACAAGGGCAGCCATCTCCAGAGTACTTCCCAAAAGGCACCTTTCTCTCTGTTTCTGGGTCCCTCCTGTATTTGGACAACATTCCCAATTACAGATGGAGAAATCAAGGCCCAGGAAAGAAAACTAGACTCACTTCTCACATGGATATAACTCTCTGCACTTTTGGCAGCAAGCCTGCTGGCCTGTGACGGCCACAGGAAGCAGGGACCCCCCGAGCCCAGCGGCTTGCTGCAGAGTCAAGGTGAGACCCAGATCCCAGCCCGGCCTCCCTCTGTTACTCCAGCTGCCTGGCAGGGCACAGCTGGGGGATGCAGGGGAGGGGTGGCTGCCCTGGAGCCTAGGACCAGGCCCTGGGCTCAGTGTTCTATTTCATAAGCCCACGTAGCCTCAGCAGGAACAACGTGATTGCTTCTCCTCTGGGAACACGGCGTTCCTCTGCCATGCGAATGTTTATACTGTTCGAATGGGGGAATTTTGGCTTTGGGGTAGGGTTGAGATGTGCAGCAAAATGGCCTTGTGAAGAGAGGGTTTCTGGGTCTGGAAAGAGCACAGGCTATAGAAGCTGAGATGCCCAACTTCACTCTTCTCTTGGCCTCTGGTTTCTCTCTCTTTAAGGGCAACATAGGATTCTTAGGATAATGAAATTGCTGATTTGGTTCTTGGCACATAGTAGGTGCTCAGGGATTTCTAGTTTACTCTTTTCTTGTAGCTCCCAAACTGAAGGGAAAGATAGCTAGAGCAAGCAGATGAAGTACAAGCTGGCTGGTCTGAAACAGAACGCCTTTGAAAAATTTCCATAAGGCGTAGGCCACTTGTTAAAACTGGACGTGAAATCCCTGCCCGAGCCACGTCCCGTCTGAAGGCAGCAGGCCTCGGAGGCCATTCCCAGCTCAGCTCTGAGCCAGTCCATTAAACCTGCTTCCAAGAACACATAATTATCTGCTTGGCATGCAAACACTCTCCTTGGCTGCCCGTACCTCCTCTTCCCCCTTAGAAATATGGACAGAAAGGGCTACTTGAATCGGTCAGCCTCACATCCCTCCGATTTGCCAGGCCTCAAATGTTCCCTCAAGGGGGTTCCCAAAACAGAACTGCTTTTCCATCTTTTTGGTCAGAAAGCTTTCTATTGAGTACCTACTGGGTGCCCTTGGGCTACCCCAGAAGGAACAGAACTCTCCTAGGAAAGCTCTGCTGGAGCACAGGGAGAGGGGAGAGAATGGACCTGAGGACTGTGGGGCAGAGGGTATGCGAGGCAGAGGGGAGCAGGGCCGCTCTGGGATACAGAGCAGCCCCCTCACCTCCCAGCCTGGAGGCGCCAGGGCCCAGGGTCTCCTGTGGGGACTTGGCT